TCTATGTTTTTAAATTTAAGACGCAAGAAATTTTGTACAATTTTCATATCACTTGCAAGTTTTATATAGTATAAAGAAAGTACAAGAACTTTTATATTTTTAAGTTTAAAAAAGAAAAAATTTTGTACAATTTATATGTCACGTGAGAGTTTTGTGCAATTTAAAAAAAATATAGAAATTTTTATGCTTTTATAAAGTTCACCACTCTTACACACACATACACACAATAACACGACTTAGACGGAGAATATTTTGCCTGAGAGAGTAAAATATATAATAATTAGAAATTGGTTTATTGTAAAATATATGGTAAAGTTCTACAAAATTTTAAAATATTTGAAAAAAATTTATTAGGTAATTTTAGATTTAATAAAAAAATTAAAAAAATATTGAAATGACTTTTTTTTAATTATAATCATATCACTCATATCTAAAATTACCCTCTCTTCATACTTTAAAATCTATTTCTAATTTTTTTTTATTTTACTTAAATTAAGAGAAGCAAAGATTAAAAGTAGATTTAAACAAATTTCAAAAGTGATTATATATATTTAAAAACTCGAAATCGTTTCCCAAAAAGGTCATGTAAGCCTCACTTTAATAGCAATATATAAACATAAATAGGTACTGAAGTAATACCAATTAGGAGTCATTTAGAGGGGTTTTAGCAACACCCACAGATAATTCCACCACTCGTAGAAAATATAACGCTTTTGCATTCCAACTAATAACCTAGCAGTACAACACTCACATTAATTGTTGCATACTTTTGAATGGTTCAACTATAAACAGATGAATTTCCCAAATTAATTAATTATTAAATTGGGATGGGAGAATTTTTAAAGATATTTAATCTTGTGGGTTCTCTTTGTCAGCAGTTTCAGATGAAGAACAAGTCTTCTTAAGTTGTTGGATGAGATCTGAATTATTTCAATGGATATGTACAGATATTTATATCTCCAACTATTTGTAAAATAGAATTTAAAATTCTTATTTTTTTAAAAAAATCTTTTTTTAAATCATTCAAATATTCAAATTAAGTCGCTCTTGGTCAAATAATACGGCTAAGTTATTAATAAAAATAATTACTTAGTTATTAAATAAAATTGAAGACGCTAAAAATAAAATTTTAATTATTATTTTTATTACAAAAATTTCTATTTATAGAACATACTATAGAGGAAGGATTTGATTATGATATTTTTTAAATTTTAAGAGAAATAATTATTTGTTTTACAGTTTGTGATTAATTTTATATAATTTATACATATTAAATTAAAAATATTAAGCATATTAAATAGTTTGCTTTTGGAAATAATTGCATTTGGATTGAATTATTGAAATAAGTAAAAATGAAGAAAGCAAGGTTGAAAAAACAAAAGGTTCATCTTTTCCTTTGAAAAAAATGCAATATCTATCTATATATATATATATATATATATCAAAACCGATAAATTTAGTGATTAACAAATTCAATTTCTTTAATATCTATACATAGAAAAATTATAGCAATAATGTATTATCCAAATTAAATATTTGGACTAAAATCGACCACCATAACATACCAATATATACAATTTTGGATCAATTAACTGGCTTACATAAATGAAGGTGGAAGTTATAATGGTAGAGGACTGTTTGGACTAGTACAAATTTTCATTTATAATATTTGAGAGAGTTAGGTGTATAGCATTAGGATTTCTCACTTTAATTTCCCTAGTAAAATATAGGTCAAATTGTAAAACAAAAATCTTACAAATGAAATTGAAAATTATTTTTCTTGGCCCTTTCAATTTTGAAAATTATTTCCTAATTATGTGACGAAACATGAGCAACAAAACCCAAATAGTGGAGAAATTTAAATTTCTAATGGAGGCCTCTTTCTTCCTTTCTTGTTCCCACCCCCCAAAAAGGAGAGACAAATTAAATTGAAATGGAGGGCTTATTTACAAAAATTGAAATATCAATTGGCATTTTAATAAACACAAAAATTATTATTTTGCAAACTCGTGGATCGCACGGACTGTGCCTCGCGTAACACGAGGCAAATTATGTATATGACACCTACGCGGGTTGTTCTCGCCCTTTGCGTGGGGATTGACGCTTGTGTTCTCAATAATGTCATTGCATAGTTACTCCCGGGTTCCCTTTCTTGTAGGCTTGTAGCACTTGTTTTGTTGTGCTTGTGGTGGGTGCATGCACTCTCCAAACTCCCACGGTCGTCGTGCCTGTCCAAATCAAGAAGCCAAATGATTTTATATTTTTAAATTACAATAATCTAATCTAATTTTGCATGAAATTATATTTTTATGAAGGCTTAAATCACGTACTAGTTGCTATGAGCCAACCAGTCTAATCGTGATATTAATTGCGAAACTTTACACCGTTCTAAATGATCCATCAAAATCTTGTACTTAATAATAAGAACTGGTCTAGCGAATCAATAGCCTTGTTATTTTTTGTATCATCTAATAATACTAAGGGTCTTTTTACGAATGTTTAAATCATGTACAAGTTGCTACAAGCCAACCGGTCCACCGGTCATATTAATTGAGAAACCCCACACCTTTTAAAAAAACTACTGAACACATGTATTTAGTGTTAAGAACTGAGATAATGAATTATTAACCCTAGTATGGATCAACCAAGAATATTAATGGTCTTTTAATGCTTAAATAACGTGTAAGTTGTTATTAGTCAAGTAGTTTAACTATGATATTAATTGAAAATTCTTATATTTTTTAAAGAATATACCAAAAATCTGAATTTAATATTAATAAATGATCCAATAGATCAAAAAATATAATACTTGTTAAATCATCAATCGGCGTTAAGAGTTCTATCCCAGTGTGTTGGACCCGTTATTAAATAAATTGATCCAAAGTCAGTGTTCAAATATTAACCACAAATTAGTATTGAAATACTTGTATTATATAGAATATAAAATATAAAATAAGATAAATTTAATATAATATAAAATAAATTATATATCATATTATTTATATGACAATCATTTATACTGATAAATTAACGCATGACAGTCACGTGATCTCATAAAGGATAAAAGATTCTTTTTTTTCTCTTCCATTCCTTTAGCTAGTTGGTACTTACGGTGGGGGGACTGTTCACGGGGCTCGTAGACGCAAGAGATATCAACCACCTCCACCTGAATCTGGCTTCTCTATCCAAAGTATATTAATTAAGTCACGACTAATACACTGCATGGCAACACCAATCAGCTATTTTTCACTATTTATTTATTTTAATTTATTTATTAAAATAAATAATCAATGTAAATAATTAATAGACTTAATAAGATTAAATATTTCATTTATTAAGAGAACCCAAATCATACACGTTCCCCGTATGCTATCCTTCATCCTATTTACAATATATTTATTTTTTGAACGGAAGAATAAAATAAAATAAAATAAACAATTGGGTACTTAAGAAAAACCACACCCTCTAATTTTTCATTATGAAAAAAGAAAAAAAAAATTGAGAAGCAGGACATCTTTTAATTACAGAATTAAATAAAACATGTATTAATTAGGAAATTATAATTCATTAGTATAATTTTTATATGGAATTTCCCCTAGTTTAATTTATTTTATATCTAATAATTTGGGTGGAAAATCTATTTTTGCAATTTCAAACATTTAAAATTGTTGAAGTGGGAGAAAATCTGAATTAATGATGTATTTGGTCAGTATTTTTTAAAATTAATTAAAAATTAAAATATATTTATTTTATTAAAAATAACATTTAAAAAAAAATATTGATTGGAACAATGTTTTTACAGAACATAGTTTTAAAAGTCCTGCCACAGCTCATTGCATTCTCCACTGCCCTACCCAAAAAGCCTATCACCCCTTTATAACTAATGGCAGGCAAGATCATCTTTAACTTTTAACGAAGAAGACTTGACATAAGTCCTGTAAAATTTTTTTTGTCCCTTTTCAATACAACAATAAATAATATTTTACGATTTCCTTAAATTTTATTTTATTATCCAATTGATCATCCCTTGAATATTTAATTACAAAACCATAATTCTACTATGAGTTACACCCCTCAATATTTAAGGGGTGTTTGTAAATATTTTTATAAAATTAAAATTTAGAATTCAAAAGTAAAAGTGGGTAAAAGTACATTATTATTTGAAATTGGGTGTATTTGTAAAATATGTTATAAAATTTTTAAAAATTATACAATAAGTATCTTGTAAGTAATTTTTGTAATTTGCTTTAAGAGAATAAAAATTTTTTTGAATAAATTCAAAAAATTCTGAAAATTTTAATTGGGTCATTTTGGATTCAAGACAAAAATTTTTTAAAAAAATCTGAAATAATGTTTATTTAGTTATAATAATACCACTCACAATTAATTCTAGAATTTTTTTCTGATTGTATTTTTTTTCCCTTAAATGAAGAGAACAAAAGTTAAAAATAGTTTTTCAAATACTTAAAAAGTAATTATGTAAATTACAAAATTCAAAATCACTTTTAACAAATTGTTATAAAATACCACTTAAATCTATCTTATGCAACTTAACTTCCTTCTAATAATAATATGGCAAATGTTATACATCACAACTTATATCATCATCGTCGTCGTCGTCATATTATTATTCACTTTTTTTAAAAAAATGGGGTGGCTATGTCAAAGTGTATAATTTCCAAGGTCAGGAGGAGGATCAGGAAATAAATTAATAAATAAATAATGGCGAAGAGAGTTTAAAGAGAAAAGTAATTCCTCTGTCAATTATAAATATAACAACCATGTAGCTCTTTCTACTTCCACTGTATTAATTGACTTTGGTCGGTGAATGAACCAGAAAAGGAAGAGATGGACATTGGAGAAAAAGGTACACCATGGATTATTACAAGCACTATCCACGAACAAGCCTTCTCCCTCGTGCAAACCCGTCCAGACATTTGCAGAAGGAGGTAATTAGGGATGACAAAACATATATATGTGGAAAGAAAGAAATTAATTAATTAATTCTTGTGACGGTAGAGACGCACTGGGAGACCTTTTTCCGGGATAGGCATGGGATTTACAACAATTTTCTCGTCGGGAAGCAGCTTCTCCCACCTGAACCTCTTCATCAAGTTGTGCATGAAAGCAAGGATTTCCAGTCTGGCGTACTCCTTACCGGGGCACATCCGAGGCCCCCCTCCGAACGGCACGAAGGAGTAAGGTGCCGGTCCACTGCCCTCGAACCTTGACGGATCGAACTTTTCTGGATTTGGGAAATATTCAGGATTTCTGTGGGTAGAGTGTGCGCTCCAATACAACTGCATGCGTTGCATTCAAATTAATATCGATTAACTAAAGAAATATTTGAATAACTAATATAATTAGTTCCATACGATTTGGTATACTGACCTTCCATCCTTTAGGAATGGAGAAACCGGCGTACATGAAGTCATTGATGGCCTCCCGGAAAGCTCCCTGAAGGGGCGGTGCTAGTCTCAGGACTTCGCAAGCTACGTTCCAAGAGTACCTCATCTTCTGTAAATCCTCCCAGTTCAACAGTTCGCCTGGTGCTTTTGATTTTGCAATCTCCATTTGCTCTGTAACACAAGTTATTAACATTTTAGTTAATTAATTTCTTCATATTTTTCTGGGAAAACCCTTTTTTTTTCTTTGAAATTTCAGAAAAAGACCGCCTTGGAGAAGAGGAGATCAATGGATGATCAGTTAATCTGACAAAATCTAGAACAAGTATTAAGATTAAAATTCTTCAAGCTCGTACGTACCCTTGTAAACCTCATCGTAGACGTGAGGCAGCTCTGCGAGATACTTAATGATAAACGTGATCGTGGCACTCGCCGTGTCGTGCCCTCCGACCAAAAGTCCGAGAATCTTGTCGGCGATGTCCATCTCGTGCATGAAATTCCCGTCTTCGTCCGGCGTCAACAGCATATGCGAAAGTATGTCCTGCGTCGGGGACGCCTTGTTCTCCGCCAGGTCCTTCTTCCTCTGCTTTATGATTTCGACAAGCTTCTTCCGGATGAGGTTGGAGGCCTTGATGGCCTTGTTGAAGGGAGTTCCGGGCAGGTCGACGGGGATGGAGAAGATGCCGGTGGCGAGGACCTCGAAGGGCTGGGAGAAGGTTGCCACCTCCTCGGGGTCCTCCACGCTGATGAAGAGGCGGCAGGCGAGCCAGAAGGTGTACATCTTTGAGAGGGGGAACGCGACGATTTCCTTCTGGTTCTCCCAGTCGGATTCGAAGTGCCTCTGGGCGATGCTGTCCATGATCCCGATGTACCGGTGGAGAGCCTCGGCCCTGAGAATTATTTATTCAGAAAAAAAACATAAATATGAAGGATAAGAACTCAGTTAACTCAAAATTTATAAATAATTAATATTTTTTGTAAAATCTTAAGATATATTTTAAAGGGTATAATTGGATCAAAGCAAGCAAGCGTATATTTTTTGAGTTTATTTATTCCTATTTTAAGTTTAAAAAACTAAAAGATAATTTTAAAAATTTTATTTTTAATTTTTTCGACTTTTAAAAATATGCAAAATCATTGCTCTTTGCCTTTTCACTGTAAAGGGTGTCCAAAAAGCCGAAGAAAATGAACATGACAAACTCGAGTCGCCATCCATACCTTAGAAATTGTGGGAGGAGTTTCCTCATCTTCTTCATCTCCTCGTTGGACGAAGTCTGGGTAGAGGAGGGGAAGATCTTGTTAATAGACGCCGGCCACCACGCGGTGACGAGCTTGTTCTCGTTGGAGAAGAGGAACTTGTTACCCGGGGCACTGCACATGACGATCGTGGGTGCTCCGAAGAGTGAAGTCTTGAAGGCCCGAGGAGAGAACTTGGCCATCCTCTCCTGTATGAACTTCTCGGGCTCGCCCCTCCACCCATTCGACAAAAAGTCAATGCTCTCTCCTACGAACGGCCACCCCGTCTTCCCGGCGGCAGGTCGGAGCCGCCGGAGGAGGACTTGGGCTTGACGAAAAAGAGGGCGAACCAGAGGCAGGAGAGGAAGAAGATGGCGGCTAGTGAGAGCATGGAGACCAAGGAAACCTCCATGATGCCCCTTGTCGTGTATTCAACTTATGTGCTCAACTTAACTGAAGTTGCTTCTCTTATATAGGCGATTCCGCTGCTGCTCAATTTTAATCTTCATTTAATTTATTATTAATATTTTCATTACTTCGTTAGTCACCTCACGGCCTCTCACAACCACCATTTTCGGCAATTATTAATCTTTAAATCACGATGCATGAGAAGAAAAATGAGCCCAAGGTTTCTGAAAATTATTTTTAGAAGATGTTTAATTATATTTTGACCCCTTTTTACAAAATAATTACAAAGAAAGGTAAAATTAAATAATTTTTATATCTATGTAAAATATTTTTTTTTTATTTAAATTTTTGCATTATATTGGTTACTTGCACTAACAAAATCTTGAGTTAAAGAGCTGGCAACAGATCCTGCAAGAAAGCAAAATTACAAAAATAGGTCACCCCTGCCTCGCTGAACATGCGTCTCTTACTTTTTTTTTCTTTTTTTTTTTAATTTCAAGTCAGTCCAACAAACACGTGTATCACTCTCCAATGCCCAACTCAACAGGGCCAGTTAGAAAAATCAATTGCAATCCTGGGATGATGAAGGGATGTTTGGTGTAATTTCATAAAATAATTACCTATTTCTCAAAAAATAACTTTATAGAAGTACTTTGTAATAATTATTTTCAATGAAAAATAATGTTTGGGGAATTAAAAAGTGCCTTTTTTTAGTGGGTCACGCCAGTTAAAAAGTGTATAATACCTTCATTACTAATTGTTTTAAAATGAAAATTAATATTATCAAATTTAATCAACCAATCAAAAAAATTAAATAATCATATATTTGAATCTCATTAATTTTAAAATATCACTAAACATTTTCTGTAATATTTATCTATTATATTTAAAATTTTTTATATTATCCTGTTTATATATACATGAAATATAACCACAAATACATTCTTTATGAGTATATTTATAAATTTTAGCGTCGTGTATTTAGTTTGAAATTTATTAAAATTATTATAATATTTTAATTCTCTCATTTTTCCAAAATTAATTCTAATTTTTTTTACAATTTTTTAGATTATTGAAATATTAATTATGCATATTAATGTTATATTCTTGAGAATTTTAAAACCATTCTTCAAATTTTAATATTTTAGCAAAATGATTTTTAAATTTTAAAATTTCAAGAATAATTTTGTAATACAAATAAAATTTGAGGAATGATTTTGAGATTCTGCCCAATCTTCTTGCGCATATTTTAAGCTTTTGGCGAGCGGACTTTTGTGTGTGTGTGTAATATATATATATATATATATAGATAGAGAGAGAGAGAGAGAGAGAGAGAGTGCACATATTTTAAGCTTTTGGCGAGCGGACTTTGTGTGTGTGTGTGTGTGTGTGAGAGAGGAGAGAGAGAGAGAGAGAGAGAGAGCATGCCAAGATTGAACAAGACGCAAAGGCCAGCCCAAAGAGGGGAAAAAAAAGGGGTGCCATCCAAAAATGAAATGTTAAAAAAATAAAAATCAGACGTGTGAGAAGTCAAAGGGCGCAACGTGGACTAAAAAGAATCGGAAAGCATAAAATAAGACTTGATGAAGTGCATCAATATTGGCTGCCATTAATTGGTCCCGTTCAAATTGTGCACACATTTTTTGGTAGACTTTTGACCAAGCATTCTCCTACAGTTCATCTCGTGCAATTTCTCTGTACAGTTCCCGTATTTTCCTTATTTCGGTAAATAATTTAATAAATGATTTATTTTTTAATTTTAAAAATTTCTTGAGAAATAATTGACACAATTAATTTGTGGCCGTCTATGTCCATGGTTATCACAAGAATTAATTACTAGATAGACATGTAATTATTATGGTACTCAAACACCTCCAGCTTGATATATACTTACCATCCCAAAATTAATATGAATAAGAAAGCTAATAGTGAGATGTTGATATTTCTTTCCTTTCTATAAATGAAAGAGAACTTCATCTTTAGTGTTATTATTAAGCACAAATTTATGCTGACTAAGAACTTTTCCTTCAAAATTTTTAAAATTAATTAAATCAATTTTACAATTCAAAATTGTAAACTAGATCAGAAAAATTGTATTTACATAAATGATAGCAGAAATAACTAGATCAAAAAAATTGTATTTACATAAACAATAGCAAAAAATAATCTTACACCCAGACAAAAATTATACGTTAATAAATGACATTTTTCTAAAATAATAAATATTTAAAAAATTACAAGCTTTAATAAACATACGTGAATTTTTTATTTTTTATTTATTTTTTATTTTTATCAGTGTTTTTGGTATAGGAATTTATCCTTTGTTTGTATTATCCAATTTACATGGTTACATTTTCAAATATTGTTGGATTTTCTAAGTACTGTAATGGAATTAGAATAAATATTAATATTGGGCAAATAGCATTTCACCTAAAAAAATTTGAATTTTAGCATTGTATTCTTTAAAAACACATAAAAAAAATCTTTTCCTTATACATATTAAATTTATAATACTTACCCCTTAATCAACATTTAAGTAAGTATTTATTAGAAATTCTATTTTAAAAAAATATAAATATCATTTTAGGTATAAATGTTAATTGATTTTCTCATGTTTTAACATTTACAGTCATTATTTATACTTCAAAAATATTTATGTCCTTTAAAAGTAAAATTTTCTATAAATATTTTAAAATAATTCATTTATTTATGACAAGTTTTTAAAGTTGTATTTGTAAATTTTTAATTTATATATTTTTAAAATTTATAAGAATACATAATTTTTATAATTAAAGAATTATAAAATTCATAGTAAATTTTCAAAATATAATTTTAATAATAAGAATAAAATCTCATATTGTAAAATAAATTATTAATTATTCTCTAAAATAAATTTATTTAAAGTTTTTATTTTAAAATAATTATCAAAAATTTTATTTTTAAGTAATATAAATATTTTTTTAAATACAAATAATGATTATAAATGTTGAAACAATATAAAATTAATTAACATTTATATTTGAAATGATATTTATATTCTTCAAAAATAAAATTTTTCATAAATATTTTACTTAAATATTGACAAGGAAATAAGTACTATAAATTTAATATTTATAAAAAAGTATATCTCTTTTATTTATTTGTATATATTAGATATAGTGTTAAAATTTAAATTTTTGAAAACCTATTCACAAATGTGTTTCTTTGTACATGAATTTACAAAAACATAAAGGACAAAATAACACTGGATATTTTTCTTGATAAATTCCCAAAAAAGAATCTGGAAAATGCAGAAAATGCTTTTTTTATTTTTATTTCCGTCTTCTCATCTTATCGCTGTCCCGTGCCATACAAAATTTGGCACATCAGAAAAGGGCATTTGTAAGAGGAGATAGATCAACCTGGAGAAATACTCCTTTTTCACCTCCATCCTTGGTTGTCCAAGGTCTGCGCAGGCGGAGACCCAACTGCTATAACTGTCATTATCTGAGCCCTGTTTTGCAAATAAATCAAAATTTAGGATCTTTTCTTCTTTTTCACCTTCAGATAATTACACGCCTTGCTTAACACCCCTTCCTGTTTGCAGTGTTGAAACTCAAACTGGGCAAGCCGAATCATCTTTGATGTGTGCTTGCAGCTAATCTCAGGCACCCGTGCTCGGACAGCTATCATATCCGGATTGCATAGGTGTCGGATAACTCATCTCATCCTTCGGCACAAAAAAAAAAAAGCAAAGAAATAGAATCAATTTATTTATTTTTTTTCCTTTGAAGTTGGTTATGGGCAGTGCTTCAACTTAAATGAGCTCAACACAGTGAACCTAAGTAAAATTAATTGGTTGATCACAAGCAGTTCTAGTTGTTTAACTTCTAAGTCTTGCCAACACTACTATGCAGAAAACAATCTAAGAAAGTTTTGGATGCTTGTTTTTTCAAGTTCTCTCAGCCCATGATACTGAAGCTTAGACGGGTTTCCTCTAGAGCCCCATGTGGCCACCTTTAACTGGATTTTGGCAGTAAAACCCTGGTTTCTTTTAATAAAAAAGGCTATATGTTCACTTCCTAAAGGTTGGCTTTCTTTTATGGAAACCAAAACTAGGCTCTGGCGCTTCCCCTTTTTTCTTTTTTAATTCAACAAGAAATAAAATATCTTAAAATTTTAAATAAAACAAAATAAATAGACTTGGAAACCGAACAACACCAAGTTAATTTGGGTTGGGCTTAATTAGATATGTTTTACCTACTCAACATGAAAAGAGATCCTCCCCGTTTGTTTTGAGTCTTTCCCCCTCTTGTATTTTCCTCTATTTTTCTCCCTCCATATTAAGTGAATAGTATCTAAATTTTTGGGAGGTTAAGTTACAGCAGACTTCTCTAGTTCAGTCACAACTAGAGAAAATTTTGATCCCTATATAGTGAAGAGGAATAGCGAGAAGTAGATAAGCATAGGATGAAGAGCAAAAACTTACCAGAGACGTACACACCTGGCTGAAATTAGCGAGGGAGGCAATGCCACCATCAAAACCACCAATTAAGCTTTCTTCAGCAAGTGTTCTCAACCTCTCCAGCTCCGGCATAACAACCTTGGCAAGATCGGGTCGGTCCTTCCGTCTCAGCTCTGCACACATGAGGGACAACTTGGCAAATGACAAGGCCTCTTCAACAGGCCAATCAGGCACAACTGGGTCCAGCATCTCCCAAAAAGTGCCCTTCTCGATGGCCCGCTCAACGTGGTGGGTCAGACCCATGGGTGGCTTGCCCGTTATCAGCTGCAGATACATGATCCCAAGCGAGTATATGTCCGATTTCACACCCAGCATTCCTTATATACAGGTCACAACACATATATACAATATGAATATATAATAAAGTTATTAAGAAAAACACCAAATCCAGCTGACATATAATAATAATTCATTAGTCATCGAATTTCACAGGTTTAACCTTGTTTCACTACAAATGAATGAAGTTAATTATTTTATAAAAAATTATTAGATATTTTGATGTTGACATAAATTTAGCACAATCCAAGACAGGAACATGACAAATAAACAAAAGATACCACCCTACCTGTCTGTTGATACTCAGGGTCTATGTAGCAAAAAGTCCCGGCCGTAGACGTCATTCGATACTGGGTGACGCTATCAGCAACAGAGGAGGGACAAGCCGGGCCAACCCGACATCACTGATCTTGGCCACGAAGTTTCGGTCCAGCAAGATGTTGGCAGGTTTGAGATCACGGTGCACAAGAGGCTCTGGTTTGTTTTGGTGAGGAAGAGAAGGCCAGTGCCAATTTCTGCAGCAATGCGGAAACGCTGTTGCCAGGAGAGAGGGGGAGTACTGGAGTTTGGTCGCGGAAAGAGGCAGTCTTCCAGGCTTCCATTGGACATGTACTCATAGACTAGGCACCCATACTCTGGGCATGCTCCCAAGAGGAGAACCATGTGGGGATGTCTTATACAGCTCAGCACTTCCACCTGTACGTGGTAATATCAAATATCAGTATCACAACAGACATGGCAAATGATCAGTCAAACAGGTTCTGACTGAGTCCTTTCTAAATGTTTCCGGATCTAGGTTATGTCAGGTTAAGCCATTTTCAAGTATAGGTTCACATGGCTCAATACTAACCTTACCTAATGGGCTAGGGTTGATTGGTTTAATCAATCTATAAATAATGACGTCTCAATTTAATATCACACCACATCATTCACTTAAAAGATAATTTGTTATCCTAAAAGATCTCTCACATCATTTGGTAATTAAAATAAATTAATATGACTGCTTTTTTTGATAACATAATGATGCAACTTGTCATGTGATTGAACAAAAATGAAAGAAAATAGCATGATGACTTGTTTTGGGTTATTGGATTGATCCTAATTAACTCAATCTAATAGTTTTGGGTTACTTAGTTCAGGTTGAAATTAAGTAACGTAGCACAATAAGAATGAAGAAAATGACATAACTCGTTCTGTTATTGAATCAGCCCTAATTTAAGCCTGAAAATTTGGGGTTCAGTTTGGGTTGGAAAATATATGATCTCAACTCTAAAATTACAGAGTGGTTATGGTCCAGTAGATGAATTTGATAACAGTTTACCACCTCTAATCATCATCCATGCATGACAAAGTTGGGTGTAACCTTCCTTAAAAAAGAAACCCTTGATTTGATGCCATAGGATAGAGATAGAATTGGTGTAATTCTAACTAATTTACCTCCTGCTGGAATTGGGATCTTCCCTGAGCTGCATCTGGTCGGAGAACCTTCACTGCAACTTGAGTGTGGTCAGGTAACACTTGTAAACTGGACCATAACCTCCTTCTCCAATTTTAAGACGCTCTGAGAAGAATTGGTTGCATTTTCAATCTCCTCAATGTGTACCTCCTATACCTGAAGTCTGATTGTGTCAGCTTGTTTAGCATCTTGTTCTTCTCTTTTGCTTCCTTGAGTGCTTTCATCTCTGCATTGATTCTTTTTTGTGCTTCCATTTCTGCAATCCTCCTAGAAGCTTCTGCTGCCTCAATTGCTGCTCTGGATTTTGCTTTTTCCCTTTCTATAATTGCCAGTGCTGCTCCCTCCGCTAGTCTTGCCTCTTCTAGTTTCTTTTGTTCTTCCATTTTCCAGCGTTCAAGTTCCACTGCCTACATAACATGCAAATATATATGTTAGACTTCTTTGAGCATACATCAAGAAGGTGTTAATCTCTATTGAAAGAAAACTACTCAGATAATAAGGTGCTTAAGATAAAGTAGCTTAAAGCACTATTCCACTGATTTGGAAAGTATACAATTTTCAGTAAGGATGGAAACTGCTTATATTGGAATATATGTGATGATCCGCTAATAGGCAAAAGCATAAAAAGTTGAGAGGCTTATTTTTTTCAACTTGAAAATGAACTTATTAAGATCCAGCTTATTAGGTGCAAATCTTTTCTTACCAAACTGAAAGGGGGAGAAAAAAAAAGAGCCACTGGATGCTTGATAAAACATATACAAGTAATCTCTCATACCTTCTGTTTTGCTGTGAGTGCTTCTTTGCAGGCCGTACTGTACATATCCATTGTTTGCTTCAGCTCCATCTTTAGCCTCCGCATTTCAGCTTCAACATCTTCCTAAAAGTTTTAATTTGTAAATTACATGTCTTTTAGCATCTGTGAAAGTTTACAAAAATTTTTCATATCACAAAAAATGTTGAAAACATTTATACCTCTCAACATTTTGGTCAGTAGGTAAGTCACACAACCAGTTGTTGAAATTGCTTTCAGATTAAATATTAGATAAGGAGCTTAGATTGCTCGTCAACATGCTTATTGAACTCCATTCCGTGAGATAATGAGGGTGAAAATAAATTCTATAATATGAGATGAAAATATTGATGAATAACTTTTTCCATTATAGTTCTCGACGTTCATACAGTTATTTCTTGTCAAATATTTAGAAGTCTAATATATGTTCCTATCTCGAGTTATTTTCCCGTTGCAACTCTTAAAATTCTTTCTCAGACGATTTGCTATTTTTTCTTTCTTTGTTATTCAATATATTAAGACATTACAGGCTACCTCCACAGGAAAATGCCAGTGAGGTAAACCATCAAACAGATGGAAGGCAAAATCAAAAATAAAAATTATATAAAAAAAAAAAAAAACACACACACACACACACACACATACACAACTAGCAGAGCAATATGAGCTTAGCCAGACACAGCAGCAAAAAACCACAAGATAAACATAGTATATTAGTATTCCCAATCGATTGCACCCAAACCCAACTCAGAAGTGCCAAAAATTATTTCAAATTTACCAGTTTCTCTTGGTAATATTTGAATTTTCATCTTTATGTGTCAAAATCGAAAAGAGAGGTTATCGTAGCCATTGATTGCAATTTTTGTTTCTTCTACCATAGTTATCTCAAATCTAATCATATACCATCTTGCTAGTTCTATAACTTTACTGCACTACAAAAATTACGGCAAGAGAAATGCCATAACGTGAAAACGATTACTATTATCCATTAGAAGTTTATTTTTCATATGTAACTGTCTATTTAAAAGAACAGAGGCCCTTACCATTGTTTGTGACATAGATGATTCATTGGCAGGGGTAACGAAGGAGTTCTCAGATGGTGAAAAGTTATCACTTGATAAGCGTGCAGTGTAAACCGACTCGAACTGTTACGATTGTCCAAATCCGAGAACTTGAAAACTGGGAGTGGCTCATGTCGAAGCTCTCATGCATCGAAGGAAACATCCGGTCCGTGCTTACCCTACCGGAGCTCGCAAAGGACATGTCAGAGTCCGGGGAAGTTCATAAGGTCTGCCATTTGGGCCTTTTCTGTTTGAAAATGGTGACCTGTGTACGTCAACAGCGTTCAAGTCAGTCATTCCAATTCCAAACACAGATCACCAACAAATTCATCGTGAATAAGAGTCAACTGATATGCTAATTGCAGTGTCACTGGCAAACCTACGGCTCTTCTGCTCCGATTTATTTCATGCCGGGCTCACTCACTCAATTAGACAGTATAACGTCTATTAAATTAGTATTAAAATTTGTATATTTAGCACTAATTTAGCAGTTTTAGTGCGATTAAATCATTGATCAATCCCAAAATAGAGTCTTGATATGCTGTACGAGAGCAAGAAGGAGGTAATTCTCATTAAACTCTTGAAATATTGTGTTTTTTCACTTTACCCCTAAAGTAAAAAAATTAAGCAAACAACTCTCTTAAAGTTTGGAGTGTGGCACTTAACCTCCCTCCCAGTAATTGACGTTCAATAGATAATGACGACCAATTTGAATTGTTCAAGAAAACTCAAATGCTTACACCCATTAGCATAATAACAAAAGAAGAAAAATAAAAAATGAAAAAATGTGTAACAATTTTCAGCATAACCATGGAGAAAGGGAAGTATTGTTTCTTTTTTCTTCCATTCTCTTAAACCATATATAGAACTCTTCCCTTGATGGAGCTTCCTTGTTGACAAAGAAACATGAGAATTAATAACTATAAGATTAGTTATTTGTTTAATTTCAACTTAATGAAAAGGGGTTAGTTTACTACACTAAAATACTTTCTGAAATTTAACTTATTATTTCTTTGCCCTAAAAGAGGGTGAAATAAAATTTTGACATATGTGATTAGTGTATTTTATTTTTTTTTTATAATTGTTAGGATTATTTAATATAGTTTTTACTTACTTGAAGTCCATTTCATTGTATGAGCTACTTTGTGAATCGAATGAATGGCTTGAAGTTGACCCTGTAAAAGGAATCATCATTTCAAAATAAGTAAATAGAAATTGTGAAATTATATGTATTTTTAAAAAAAGTAAGAGAAATGTGATCTTTCGTACCAAAATGAGAGGTTGATAGTGACTCAGAATTATAGGATGTGAAACTGATCTGGGACGTATCACTTAATGTATTATTTTGAATTTGAAAGGAACCAGGTGCTGGTCGGGAAGCAGATCGCGCAGAGGAAATCTTACCTTTAGATATGACATACACTGTACAAAAATCTGGTATTTTTTTCGCCACAGTTCCTGGAATATCTGTTACTTTGAATCTCCTGCTCAAGAATGCTACCAAGCTTAAGATTTTCAATATAATCTCATAAAACCATATGAATCCTTTGTAGAATTCTTACATATATCTGAATTCGACTTTAATTTTCTTTTGTTAACAAGGGAAGGAACAAAATACACAAATAAAAAGTTCAAAAAGTAATCTTTATAATTTTAAAGATGCCTCCAAAAGAGCTTGATGTTTTCAGGGTTCTAGTTGCAACTACATAGGAAGGTACAAGAAAAGGATCATACTTGAAAAGTCCACTTTTTGAAGGAGCACCAAGCACCAGAGTCTCTATGACTTCTTGATTGACATATTCAACTAATGCTTTGGTAATATCTACATCTTCTAACACTATATCCTGGCAATTGATCTGATGCCAAAATTTCACAGTAAAGAATAAATAGTTAGAATGTGAGAAGGTAACTAGAGGGTCAAAAACAGTTAGTAATGGTCATATTTTGGTATTTTTACATACTAGCTATTGTGAAAAAAAAACAAAGACACTAAAGTATGAGTACCTACATTTTTCCGCATGCAAAAACAACGAAAAGGAAGGAACACTTCTCTCGTTTGTGGATCAGAATCTATGCTACATACTGATTCGCATTCTTCACTTGAATTTGAAATTGAGGAAAATCCTAACCCTGCACACAAAGTAAATAGAAATAGTCATGTGATCATCCACGTGATTGCAACAAAATTTCAAATTTAGATTCTAATGTCAACTTTAAGTGACCTTTAAATTCATCTTATTTTGTCATTGGAAAACCATGCTCACTAGAGACCTTTTTTCCTTTAAAAATGGTCAATTTTTTTATTGGTTAGTATATGTTATATCTGTTCAAATTGTAAATCATGCATATATCCCAACTCTTTTTTCCCACCAACAAAGAAAATTTTTGTTTTACAATATTAAATTCAAATAATGACGTTTAAGGAAACTCAATGGATTTTAATAATAAAATTAGATTTCTAATTAACATTCAAGTTACTCTACCTTCTTGCCTTTTAAACTTATTTTACTTTAATATTGTATTTCGCTATAATAATTATTTAATATTAGAAAATCAAATTTGCAACTATATAATATTTTAAATAAAAAGGACAAAATTGTCTATTTTGTAAGGTTGAAGAGACTCATATTATTTATTTATTTATTTTTGTT